ATCATCATAACAAATATAATGAAAAATTTTGAAAACTGAGAATTACTAAAATGTGATAGATAGGGATTGAACAAATGCTGTTGGAATAATGGCATCAATAGCCTTGCTCCCACAAGGTTGCCACAAACCTTTGATTTATAAAAACATCGTATCTATGCAGTGCAATAAAATGAGGTATACTCATACAAATATCTGATCATTATGTTGTACACCTTAAATTCATACAAATATCTATCTGATCATTATGTTGTACACCTTATACTAATATAATGTTGTATGTCAGTTATACCTCAAATAAATAAATAAAGCTGCAATGAAAAGAAAACGGTGTTGAGTCAGTTAGTTATCAACATGGAAAGCATGAAATTGGACCCCTGCTACACACCATATAGAAATAGGACATAAAAAATGAATCACAGGCCTAAATGTAAGAACTAAAACTATAAAATTTCTAGAACAAAACATAAGTATAAATCTATGTGACCTTGGATTAGATGATAGTTTCTCACATGTGACCTCCAAAGCAAAACAATCAAAGAAAAAGTGAGTAAATTAGATATCATCAAAATTGGAAATTTTGTGTTTGAAGGAAACTATCAAGAAAGTGAAAAGACCACCATGGAATAGGAAAAAAATATTTGCAAATCATGTGTCCGATTTGGAAATTGTATCTAGAATATATAAAGAACTCTTATAATTTATCAATAAAAAACAACTCATTTAAAAAATGGGCAAAGGATTTGAATAGACATTTTTCCAAAGAAAATATGGAGATGAAAAAAAAATATGGAGATGACCATTAAGTGCATTGTGTTAGTTTGCTAAAGTTGCTGTAACAAAATACTACAGATTGAGTGGCTTAAACAACAGAAATTAATTTTCTTACCATTCTGGAGGCTGGAAGTCCAAGTTCAAAGTTCCATCAGGGTTGGTTTCTGTTGAGACTACTTCCTGGCTTGTAGTAGGTTGCCTTCCTACTATGTCCTCACATGGCCTCTTCTCTGTACATGCTCAGAGAAAGACATTTCCCACATCTGTTCCTCTTGTTACAAAGACCTCAGTCCTGGTGGATTAGTGCCCCACCTTTATGACCTCATTTAATCTTAATTATTTCCTTAAAGGTCCAATTTCTTAATACAGTCACAGTAGGAGGTAGGAGTTAACACCTATAAAAATATGCTCAACATTATTAGTTACTGGGGAAATGTAATTTAAAACCACAATGAAATACCACTTCACAAACTAGAATGGCTAGAATTAAAAAAAGTATATAATTAAAGTGTTGGTGAGGGTGTGGAGAAATTAGAACCATATCCTTATACATTGATAGTAGGAATGTGAAGTGGTCTTGATGCTTTGGAAAACAGTTTGGTAGATCCTCAAAATGTTAGAGTTAGCATATGATCCAGCTGGTCCACACTTAGGTTTATACTCAAGATAACTGAAAACATGTGTCCACACAAAAACCTATATGTGAATGTTTATAAAAGCATTATTCATAACAGCCAAAATATGGAACAACCCACATGTCAATTAACTGATGAATGGATAAACAAAATATGTATCAATATAATGGACTATTATTCAGCTATAAAAAAGAATGGAATACTGACATGTGCTGCAACATAGATAAATCTTGAAAGTATTATGCTTACTGAAAGAAGCCAGTCAAAAAAGGTCACGGATTATGTGATTTATATAAAATATCCAGAATAGACAAAAATGTAGAAATGAAATATATTACTAGTTAAGGGCTGCGGTGAGGGGTAAATGTGGATCAACAACTAATGTTTTGGAGTGTCTTTGTGGTGATGAAAATGAAATTAGATAATACTCGGGTGTACAAGACTGAATATACTAAAACCCCTGAGTTTAACACTTTAAATTAGTGAATTGCATGGTATAGGAATTAGATCTCAAAGCTGTTAATAAATAGGGAAGGAAACAATCTTAAATTCAGATTAGTGTGTAAACATTTAGTGTTACTTTTTACTAACATTTTGTGTTACCTTGTTTGTTGTTTGGAAATGTTAAATTGGGATTATTACTTGCCAAATTCTTGGTCAAAATTCTTTCTCAGGCAATGTGTTAATAGTGTTAATAGTGACTTGATATTTGAATTCTAGAAAATAATTTTTTTTTGTTGCTTTTTTCTTCTTAAAGATATTTACCTGAGAGAGATACACAAAGAGGTATGACCAAGAGCATGAGTGGGGAGGACAGGGAGAAACAGGCTCCCCTCTGAGTAGGGAGCCTGACATGGGGCTCAATCCCAGGACCCCAAGATCATGAGCCTGAGCTGAAGTCAGGCGCTAAACTGACTGACTCATTCAGGCACCCACCCTGTGGTCCCCTGCTTTGAAGGGGTTTCCCTTTTGGTTTGGGTAGACAAAACCAGAAATAACTGCATTAAAATGTTGTGAGTAGTCATGATAGATGAGTATTCGGGGTATTCTGAAGGTGCAAAAGAAGAGTGCTAATTTCAGTGAGGCAAATCAAAAGAAACTTCAGTGAGAGAAAGTTACCTTTGGAGCAAGTTTAAAAGATGGAGTCCATGTCCATCAGGGAGGGAAGCACCGTAGACAGAGGGAAGGACTGGAAGAAGTAGTGGTGTGTTCAGGCTGTAATAGGTCTAATAAATGTTGGAGTATTGGGAACAGGGGAAAAAGCTCTGTGATTGTAAGGCTAAAAAGGAATGTTTGCATATCTGATATATTTTTTAAGGATTTTATTTATTTGAAAAAGAGAGCAGAGTGTGAGAGAATGTGAGCAGGGGAAGGGGCAGAGGGAGAGAGAGAGAAGCAGGCTCCCCACTGAGCAGGGAGCCCAACCCGCTGCTTGATCCCAGGACTCTGGGATCATGACCTGAGCCGAAGGCAGGTGCTTAACTGACTAAACCACTCAGGCGCCTGGCATATCTGATTTTTATTCTTAACTGGTAGAGGCACTTCTTTCTCTTTGTGGTTGCTTTAGAAATAAAAGTTTACTTGATTATGGGAACTTAATAAGTTTTTATATGTTATAATCTCTCAGAGTTATTTATATGCTAATGACCATTTGAATTAAGGGGAGGAGGAATAATATGCCATATCGTAAAAGCTTATTTGGGGAACCTTTCTTCTATGGAGTGACATAATAAGACTGGGGGAAATGTGTTATATGTTGTGGTACGTCTATTTTATAAAATATTAAGTAGTCCATAAAATGATGGTTATAAAGATGGTAGCAACATAGAAAAATGCTTATGTGCAGCAAAGAAGAAATCAGAATTCAGATTTGTTTTGAGACGGTGATTACAATTATGTGAAATGCCCATGTGTGACCAGTTAAAACTAGATACAGTTTTTACCCTTGAGATTATTAATGGTATGGTGAAATGGTCACTCTCTAGGGCAATTTGGCTCTATCGAAATTATAAACAAATGCATACTGTGATCCGGTGGCTTTTTAAGAATCACTAATGAAACACTGACCCCATGTGCACAAAGATGTACATATAGGGATGTTCTTTAAAGTATTGTTTGTAATAGTGAAAATACTTTATTATTTATTTGTTATTTATTTATTGACTATTTATTTATTTATTTATTTATTTACTTACTTACTTACTTACTTACTTACTTACTTATGATAGACATAGAGAGACAGAGACACAGGAGGAGGGAGAAGCAGGCTCCATGCTGGGAGCCCAACGTGGGACTCGATCCCGGGACTCCAGGATCGCGCCCTGGGCCAAAGGCAGGCGCCAAACCACTGAGCCACCCAGGGATCCCCTATTTATTTATTTTTTAAAAGATTTATTTATTTATTCATGAGAGAGAGAGAGGCAGAGACATAGGCAGAGGGAGAAGCAGGCTCTTCTTAGGAGCCCGATGTGGGACTCGATCCTGGATCCTGGGATCACGACCTGAGCTGAAGGCAGCTGTGCGACCGCTAAACCACCTAGGCATTCCTTGAAAATACTAAATGATAGTAGGAGAATGGCTAAATGCATTAGTGTATAACGTTGCAATGGACTACTGTAGCCACTGAATTGAAAAAAGTTGATTTATATCTACGACACTGAAGAAGAGATACTTATAAAATCTCTTGTTTGTGAAAAAGGAAACAACTGTCTGTCTACATTATAAATATTAGCTCACTAAAAGAAAATCTCAGGGATACACAGTGGGATTTTTTTTTTATTATTTTATTTATGATAGTCATAGAGAGAGAGAGAGGGGCAGAGACACAGGCAGAGGGAGAAGCAGGCTCCATGCACCAGGAGCCCGATGTGGGATTCGACCCTGGGTCTCCAGGATCGCGCCCTGGGCCAAAGGCAGGCGCCAAACCGCTGCGCCATCCAGGGATCCCCACAGTGGGATATTTTTGTCCTGATTTCATTAGACTTTTTTTTTTTAATTGAAGTGTGGTTGGCACCACGATGATATTAATAGTGGTTAGTAGTGGGATAGGGAATGCTGATCCAGGTCTGTTTGTATGAAGTAGAAATTTCACTTTCACTTTATGTTTCTGAAATGTTTTAGTATTTAACAATGAGTGTGTATTGTATAACAATTTTTAAAAATATTTGTATTTATTTGAGAGAGAGTGAGACAGAGCAGGAGCAGCAGGGAGGTTTGGGAGTTGAGGGCCAGAAGGAGAGGGAGAAGCAGACCCCTCGATGAGTAGGGAGCCCGGTGCAGGCTTGATTGCAGGACCCTGAGATCATGACCTGAGTTGAAGGCAGATGCTTACCTGAGCCACCCAAGCACCCTTATAACAATTTTTAAAACATGCAAGTTAAACTAGACAGAAGTATATCATTTTATTGCAGCTAAGCCTTTTCTTAAATTCAGATAATAAAATTATAAAAAGAAATACATACAATTCAGGATGTCATTGCAAAGGATTGCTTTACTCTGTTGATGTGTTACAGGATTTTTTTCCCTTCAGTATTTAAGAAGGTTGTATTAAAATTAAGTAAACTTACCCATTTTGAGTTTTGGCTTGATTTTTAGGTGGACCTTCAATCCTGCTGTTCTCACTAAAGCAAACATTGTCCGAAGTGGAGATGCTGCTCAGGGTGCAGAAGGAGGTACCTCACAGTTTCAAGTGGGTGATCTTGTACAAGTTTGTTATGATCTGGAAAGAATCAAACTTCTACAGAGAGGACATGGAGAATGGGCTGAAGCTATGCTCCCAGTAAGTATATCTAAAATAGTTTAAGACTCGGAATAATATAGTTTTAGACTAGGAATTATATTATGCTTTAGTAGTTTTTAAATTTTTTTTAATTTATTTTATGATAGTCACAGAGAGAGAGAGAGAGAGAGGCAGAGACATAGGCAGAGGGAGAAGCAGGCTCCATGCACTGGGAGCCCAACATGGGATTCGATCCGGGGTCTCCAGAATCGCGCCCTGGGCCAAAGGCAGGCGCCAAACCGCTGCGCCACCCAGGGATCCCGCTTTAGTAGTTTTTAAAAAAATACCTTAATTTTGGAAACTAAATTAGCATACTCCTTGGAGAATTCTTCACTGGCAGCTAGGCATACTTAATGCCTTTTATTTTCTAATTTATTCCAGTTAAATTAGCCCAGGAAGGTCCAAATATGGCTACAGTTAATAGTTTTTGCAAGACTTGTTAGTGGAGATTGAAATGTAGGTAGAAGGCAACGGAGACTTTCCTGATACTTAACCCCAGAATGAGAGGTGCGTGCTCATCCAGTTACTAGCAGTGCTAGACCACTGCTGCTTTCCTCACTTGGCGGTCTGCCTCTCTAAAACTCAGAGAGTGAAAGAACAACTCTGAATGTGTGCCTTCTGAGGTGGCTTTGCTCCCAAAGAGTTACAGTTTAATATGTAATTTATTCAATACATTTTTCACCAAATCTTCAGCAACAAGAGAAAAATTTGTTCTTCCCACTTTGCATCCATCCTCTTTCTCCATCTATACCTTGCTCTTCTGTTCTTCCTGCTGTCCTCCCATACTTACTTGCCCTATATCCCATTTCCTCTCACTTTGCTGTGTCCTCCTATTTAATCCTCCACTTTGCTACCCCTGCTTCTGTCTCATCCAGTCACAGAACTTGTCCTCTCCTGTTCCTCTAGTCCCATCCCATTCACTGCCTCCTCCTTGTACCAAATACCTCCCCTCCCATCCATCTTCATGTCTCATCCCACCAACCCTGCTGTGTTGTCTAGTGCTCTGTCCTGGTTAGCAGCTCCTCTTCCTGTTTAGCCCCATCTCCTGGCTCATCTAACCCTCTGCCCCCTCTCATCCTTTCCAGTGCCCCCTCCCTTCCTTCATGTATGCCTTACTCCTTCAGCAGATATTTTCATACAAACAATGTGGCTATTAGGCTTCAAGGATGTAATAGTGAATGAAACAAAAAGAAATCTATTGTTATGGTGCTTTCATTTGAAGACATTTCATAGTTTGCAGATGCTGCTGACATTTTTTTTGCTTTAGTTAGCGACTAAGTGATAGCTGTATGTTTTACAGGAGCTGTATTTTAGAATCTTTATTTTTGTCTAAAAATTAATTTGTATATGATCTTTTTTGCTTTTGATATCAAAGTTGGTTAAAAAAAAGTATTGATTGTCTTTAAGCCTCACTATAGTATAGTGTTACCTAAATGTAATCTTTTGATGTACTTTCATAGGAGCTATATACACTATTTTAAGGTTTTTTTTTTTTTTTTTTTTTTTTTTTTAGGTCAAGGTGTTTTTGTTTTTTCCCCTTAGCAGTGACATCTTATATATATAGCAGCTTATGTGTTTGGAGTGCCCAGTTATTGTAAGAACTGTGCTAAATGATGAATATATACATACATGCACACACATATACATGTGTACACACATATATACATATGCAGACTATTTGTCCTAGGAATATTATAAACAGGTGGTGGTATGACCTCTTTGTTTTAAGGATGAGGAAATCAGAGCTAAGATTCTGAGCTGAAATTGGAACCCAAATCTGTTTTACTTCTTTTTGTTTTTTTTTTAAAAGATTTATTTATTTATCTATCTATCTATCTATCTATCTATTTATTTATTTATTTATTTATTTATTTATTTATTTATTTATGATGGACACAGAGAGAGAGAGGGAGAGAGAGAGACACAGGCAGAGGGAGAACAGGCTCCATGCCGGGAGCTCGACGCGGGACTCGATCCCGGGACTGCAGGATCGCGCCCTGGGCTAAAGGCAGGCGCCAAACCGCTGAGCCACCCAGGGATCCCCTGTTTTACTTCTAAGCCTAAGTCATCTATCTCCCATAGTAGGCTGCTCTATAAGCAAAACCTGTAGATTATATCTAGAGGAGAATTCTGGGATTCCAGTGGTGGTGGCATAGAATTTTAATATTCCCAAATCATTCTGAGAAAAATAGTCAACAACTAGATTAGCATACCCAAAAAAAAAGAAAGCCACAAACATCTATATCAAAACCAGGTAACAGAGTAGCCTGTCGAACCCTAAAATATGAATGATTAGTGACAAAACACTGCTCCTAAGTCAACAGCTGTTTGTCTGGCAACAGAGAGAATGGAGCATTGGCTGGCCCTGAGAACAGGGGTGCTCCAGCATAGTTAACAAGTATTCATTAGCTAGTGTAGGTAGACTATGTGGAAATGATAGCTGACCCGGGGAGGGTTCTTGCAAACTACATTTTGGGGTGAGGGTAATAGGTCCATGCTAAAGTTTGAAGGAGTTGGAGCAACCTGGGTCTGTAAACACTCAAAACTAACCAGCCATAGTGCTCTTCCTGGGTAGAGCCCTCCATTAAGTAGAGAGTGCTGAGAGTAGAAACTAAATTTTTAGGATAGAGACAGTCGGGGCAAAGGAAAGATAAAAGTTGGAAGGGATCATAATCAGATCCCAATACACAGTTATTACTGAAAAAAAGACAGTAAGGAATAGCATAACTTCTTTATAGACAAATGGAAGTACACTAGAAAGATATGCACAAAAAACTAAAATCTTATGACTCAAAATGAGCTAACAGAATGATAAAAGATGAATGAAGAAAATGGATCATGATTAGAAATGAGGTAATAGAACTTAGGAAAGAATTAAAAAGAAAAGGAAGATAATTTCAGAAAAATGAGTAAGCTTGACACAACACAGATCAAATAAATATGACAGGTAATGCCCTAAGAAGAACAAAAGGTAAAAAGGGGGAAAAAACTTAAAATAAAAAAGATGAAAGTATTTCAGGTAAAGTGACAGATATAGAGCATCTAATAGATGTATATTAGGAGTCCTTGTGGAAAAGGAAAGACAAAAGCCAAAGCAAAGGAATTAAACAACTGCAGTAATTTATGATTCCAGAAAAAATGTCCCCAAATTAAAAGATTTAAAGCTAAATATGAAAAGGACCCATTGCATACCTGGGAAAACTGAGAACACAAAACACTGAACCATATTCTGATAAAATAACTGAATCTTCAGGAAAAGAAAAAAATTCTTTGATATCTAGGAAAAAAGGTCAAGTTTTACTTATAAAGGAAAGAAAATCTGGTCTCAGTGCTTTATGATTTCAAATGAAATAACATTTAAGGTATTCAAGGAACAAAACTGAAAGCTAAGAGTTTTATATATAACCAAGCTGACTTTAAAGTATAAAGCCAAAAAAAAAAAAGCCAAAAAAATAAAGTATAAAGCCTACAAATTGATATGAACAATTAAGAATTCAGAGAATCTTGTTCCCATTAGCTTTTTCTGATTAATCTATTAGAAAATGTCTCAGGCAGCCAAGATGTCGGGAGAGAGATCAACTGAAGGGGCTGATAGTGATCATTAAATATGTATGTATTCGTTGAACTAAGATTAAATGATAGTTGAAGGGGTAGGGTCTATATAATGGTTATATGCTCTGTCAACACAGATTAAGTACAACTGTCAAAAAATGGAGTGGGAATGAAGGGAGCATATGGAAAGTTTAGTAAGCTGATTGCCTTTTAGTTATTCACTGGAACTAAATACTATTATTTTAAATCAAAATCTTGAAGGAGAAAGAAGGTAAGGGTAAGACCATGAGTGACTAATTTCAGTATTGTACATACTGGGGAATGAGTTGACTCACTCAATCACTCTGACTCTTTTTTTTTTAGAGGGATAAAGTTTTATATGTATATAAATTATATATTAATATTATTATAAATATAACTATTTAGGACAATGCAGAGTTTATGTGGAAAGAAAGCAAATGGTGGAAGGATTAACCATTAAGTTAAAAAACGTGTTTTTTTTTTTTAAACTGTGTTTCATATCTTAAAAAGGAATGTAGTATAGGGAATAAAGGTAGAAGGAAAATGTCTTTGAATATGTCTTGTTTTATAGATTTTATTTGAAGCCACATAAATATTTTACGTAATTATAAAGCAAAATTAAATTCCTTAAAGTGGAAAGTAAAATGAAGTAAGTAAACCTAAATGTGTATCTTATTGGCATAACCATACAGAGAGAAAAGTACAAGTGATTTTGAAACACAGTAATTTATCTTTGTGTCTTTTTAAGAAAACTCTAAAGAACTGCATATAAAAAGCAATTTTTAACAATTTTTAGAGATCTTATTGTTTGTGATAGTATTATTATCCTGAGATTGTTGTATGTGTGAGATGACAAAAAAACAAGTGAGTAGTTATATGGTAATTTTAATTCTGTTATCCCTGGTGACCTTGAGAGCCAGAATGATCAGAGTAGGAAAAGGAGATACATATGTAACATAAAAGAGGCTACAAAAAACCCTGTAGTCTTGAGTTTGAATTGGAAAAGTGTTTTTACTTATGATTTATTTTATCTTTAAGACAAAACACCCTCCCATCACTATTTCCTAGCTCTGCCCATGAAAAGACCTAGAAACAATAACCATTCTAGTAACAGTAACCAGCCTTCGTGCCCAGATTACAGTCTTGAAATAGCCTTTCCCTCTGTAAAGAAACAGTCTTGGAGAAGTGGCTAATTCTAGCTCTTTGTCAGGAAGTGAACAAGATGAGCCTCAGAACAGATAGCAATGAAGCTATTAAAGATTTCTAGATCATGTTAAAAGGATCCAGCAGCCAACTTGGAGTGCTCCTTATCAAACAAATGCAGAGACAGATGAACTTATTAATTATACCAATAGCAAAATTGAGATTGTAAGAAACTTCATAGGACAGATAACCCTGTTTCTTCAACAAATAACTGGGAAAGAAAAATATATGTATAAACTTTATTTGAAACTTCATTTAAGCAGACTGAAAAAATTTACCATTTATGAGGCAATTGGAAATTTGAATGCTGGTATTTTATGATATCAACAGAATTAATTGATAATTTGGGAAGGGTTGGTAGTAGTATTGTAGTTTTGTTTTTTAAAAAATGTTTGCATGATTAATAATACAGGAAGGGAGAATAGGTAGGGGAAAACAAGATTGGCCATGAGCTGAAAATTGTTAAAAATAGTTGATGGGTACAGATTCAAAATACTATTGTGTACTTTTGTATGTTTTAGACTTTCCACAATTAGACATTTAAGGGGAGGGCAGCCCCTCTGGCTCAGCGGTTTAGTGCCACCTTCAGCCCGGGGTGTGATCCTGGAGGCCCGGGATCGAGTCCCACGTCGGGCTCCCTGCATGGAGCCTGCTTCTCCCTCTGCCTGTGTCTCTGTCTCTGTCTCTGTCTCTGTCTCTCTCTCTCTCTCTCTCTCTCTCTCTCTGTGTCTGTCATGAATAAATAAATAAAATCTTAAAAAAACCCCAAAAAGCATTTAAGGGGAAAAAAACAAAGAATGCAGCCTCAGAGTTTGAGATGATGGAAAATTTCAAGAGAAAATGTCTAATTAGAAGTTAAAATTGATGTAAGAGGGCAGGGAGAGGGATAAATAAAGTTAGATATGTATATTTTGGAGTTTTTCAAAATAAGGTGATAGTTGTCAAAGTGGATTAAACTTTTAAGGAAGAAGAGTAAAAAACTAAGGAATAAAATTTGGGTGAGTGAATAGATTTAGGAATCTGAAAGAGGACAAGAAGCCAGGGAGTAGAGAAAGAGAAGGAACAGGCAGAAAGGTTAGACTGTCATCTGGAAATCAAGGGAATAGTTTCAAGTATTTGGGGTCAAATGCTGTGGAGAGGGTAAAGGATAAAACACTGAGGGGCAGTCTACTTTGTGTTAGGAAGTAAGATCTTATCACTGTTCTTTACCAGTTTTCTAGTGTTGTGATTTGCTCTCCTGTTGTGCTTAAGAGAATGGGTTTTAGACTGGAATTTGAAATTGGGGCTAATGATAAGCACTTTACTCTCTGGGTTATGTATGTTAGGTGAGTTAATTCGTTTAAAGCTCTTAGAACAGTACCTGCCACATGGTAAGAGTTGCTGTTTTTTTTGTTTTGTTTTTAAGAGTTGCTGTTGATTGTGTTCTGGACCCAATTGCCCTCAAGAATATAAATACATTTTTTAAAAAATCTATTTTATTTTGTTTTATTTATTTATTAGGTATTTATTTATTTATTTATTTATTTATTTATTTATTTATTCATTCATTCATTCATTCATTCATTCATTCATTCATGAGAGGCACAGACAGAGAGAGAGGCAGAGACAAAGGCAGAGGGAGAAGCAGGCTCCATGCAGGGAGCTCGACATGGGCCTTGATCCTGGGAGTCGATCCTGGGACTCCAGGATCACGCCCGGGGCTGAAGGCAGGCGCTAAACCACTAAGCCACCCAAGGATCCCCTATTTATTTATTTTAGAGAGAGAGTGCATGGGGAGAAGGGACAGAGGGAGAAGGAGAGAATCTCAAGCAGACTCCCTGCTGAGCACGGAGCCCCCACGCAAGGCTCCATCCCACAACCCTGAGATCATGATCTGAGTTGAAATCAAGTTGGATGCTTAACCAAGTAAGCCACCCAGGCTTCCTCTTTTCCCATACATAATGGTACTATATTCTTTTGTCTTGGAATGAATATTGATTCCCTTTTTGGTTAAAGTATAGTTTGTTTTAGAAATCAGATTTTATTTTTTTAGGCTAGATCGATGATGACTTTTGGACTACTTGATTTACAAATTCTCAAGGTGTAAGATATTATGGAGTTAAAAGGTTAGAGGTTAAAAGGTTAAAAGGTTATCAAAAAGCAAAATATTGTGACTTCTTATGAATGATAGACTCATTTGTTTTTCATTTATTTATTTTTGATTTTATATTCTTGTGGAAGTATAGTGGCTTTGTTGATGAAAATATTTTTTAAAGATACTCTTTAAAGTTTGCAACTAACAAATAACCCATTTGAATATGTTGTCCTTTAACAATTTCTTCATTAGGAGCAAAGGAAAATTAATACTTTAAACATGTAAGAACTGATGATTGATTTCTTTATGGTATGTACTTTAGACTTGGGAACATGAACTGATTTTTTTTTTTTTTCTTTTGAAAGACTTTAGGTAAAGTTGGCCGAGTACAACAGATTTATTCAGACAGTGATTTAAAGGTGGAAGTTTGTGGAACATCTTGGACATATAATCCAGCAGCAGTTTCCAAGGTGGCATCTGCAGGATCAGCCATTAGCAATGCATCTGGTGGTATGTTTGTGTTGTTGGGTATTTATTTATTTTTAAGATTTTATTTATTTATTCATGAGAGACAGAGAGAGAGAGGCAGGTTCCCCGCAGGGAGCCCGATGCAGTACTTGATCCCGGGACTCCAGGATCACACCCTGAGCCAAAGATGCTCAACCACTGAGCCACCTAGGCATCTCGTATTGTTGGGTCTCTAAAAGTAATATGGTTTACATTAGAACTTTCATTAATTCCTTGATTATCATGTACAGCTAATGATGTGTGTTCTTAGTTTTCTCCCAAATCACATGACCTCACTTGAATGTTCACTAACATTTACACTTTCGCTAAAGATTTTTTTTTTTTTTCATATAATGAATAGTTTTTGTTCTGGCTGAGGTATACTCTGGAAAATTTCCATAAATAGGTACTTTTTCTTGGGTGCCATATCAAGGGCTTTCCACATCAAATCTGAGATAACTGAAATTCAGTGTTGTACTTTTTAGTTGGAACTTCTGCCAAGAAACATGACTTTCTTAGACTGCTTTTTTCTCTTTTTATTTTCAACATTATTGCTAGCAGAAGGCTTTCTTCCTGGATATTTTTATATACCAGCCATATTTTTTTCTTAGTATTTAGTACTAATTATTATACATATAGAAATGTATAATAAGTAGAAAATCATTTTGAAATGTAAATAAGGTGGACGATTGGGTAGACTCATGACAGTGTTCTCTCCCTGTGCTCCAGCTTTATATACAGAGCCTCAATTCATACTAGAACAAATTATAAGTTACTGTGTATTGTCATTCAGAAAAGAAAGTAGAGCTATAACTAAATTTTAAGAAAGTAAAAGGAGAACATTGGGTGACTGCCAACCTAATTTTATACTGCTTTCTACTACTCTGTTGCTGTCTCTTCTTTCCTGATGTAATTTGCTAGTGTGCTTAAAATTTAAATCAGGTGGTATTTATTTCTTACCTTGAGGTTAGATGACATCATAGTGGGCTGACTACCTACAAATTCAAAGAATGAGACATAGTTAATATCCTGATCAAATAATGTGGACTTGGTGTTGGTCCTCTGCCTCACTTTGTGATTGCTTTCCACTAAGTAGATCCAAGAATTAAGGAATAGAACTGCTGGGTAGTTTCTCTACTGATTAATGCTACTTAGAAAAAAAAATCTTATGAAAGAGTCTGTGTAAATATATCCCTAGTTCTTTTTTTGTTTTAGTCAGTACGAATCAGGTGACACCTGTTGAAGTATGTTAACATTTAGATGACCATTTTCAACAGAAAGTTGATTTGTCCCTAAGACATTTCCCCACATATTATAGGGATTACATTGCTTTTGAATCATAATCATTGATTTATTGATTTCTTCTATGGTCTATAGCATTGAGCTCCAAGAATCAATATGGTATGTTAAAACCTGAAAGGAAGTTTGTATTGTTCTGATACTCCCATGGAAGAGTGTTCATTTGTGATTATCTTTGGTATGACTGCTAAATCTTGAATTGTTATTTGTATGTAATGCTCTACTTTTTCTGAAATTATAACTTGAAATACATTAATTGGAGAAAACTGGGAATGCTACAGGTTAGAATTTAATGCAGGTTTATATGGTAATTAAAACTTTCATGAGTAATATCTGTAGTATAGTACAAAAATAACGTTAATGATAGCAATAATAAAAAAGGAAAAGTATATATTACAGATATGTGAGTAATGCTTGTCTGTTAGTAATTAAGGTTTGAGATTCTCCCTATATTAGCCACTTTATCTGATGTTTTACAGAAAGACTCTCTCAACTCTTGAAGAAATTATTTGAAACCCAAGAATCTGGTGACCTCAATGAAGAATTAGTTAAAGCTGCTGCCAATGGGGATGTTGCTAAAGTGGAAGATTTGCTAAAAAGACCAGATGTGGATGTGAGCATTTTAAAAATTATTTGAAGCCTACACAAAAATCGCATAGTATAATGAACATTACACAGTTCAATAATTATTGGGATTTTTCCACATGTGCTTCATGTAGTCCTCCTTTGTTTTTCTCAGGTATTTTAAAGACAACACTGGACATCATTCTTCAAGTACTTTTCTAAAAGATAATGAGATTTTCTTATTTTAACACTGTGACCTTTTGAATTTATAATTGACAAAATTTACATTTAAGTTTTTTTTCATTTAAATTTTTATTTTTTTTTACACTTAAGTTTTTGAGTGATCATTGTCCTTTCCCATTTCTCATGGAAATGTCCTCATACCATGTCTTTTAAATATCTTTTAATAAGTTTTATAAGCAGTGTTCTATACCTCTTCTCAAAACATTTAATCTAAACCTTTTCCAGTGAAAGTTGACTATTTTTAGTTTATAATGCAGATAAACTAGAGGTTATGCATTTTGTAAATCTTAATAGTTTATTTTATCATTCACACAAGCCATATTTTAGGTGGGCCATTTTAGTTCTAGTTAGTCATTCATTGGCTTTGTTATTGCTACCATACTGGCACCAATAGGATGTTCAGTGCTGGCCCAGAGATTGTAATTGGAGTGGCACAACATCATATTCCAAGGAGCTCATGTGGCATTTCAGTTATTAGGGAGATGTCATTTGTGGCAGCGTAACACAGTGGTTTCATGATTGTGAGATATATCAACAAATCAAACAAATAAACAAATAATTTGTTTCAGATATCAAAGTACTAAATATTTTTTATATTCAAGCAGATTTACATTTTATTATACTTAATTTTTTCTTCATTTAATTAGTTTTTTTAAAACTAAAATTTAAAATGTAGTTTTAAAGGGAATTTAAAGGCAAAAAATAATTATACAAGGTTCATTATGAAAAACATTCCTATCTCAGTTCTGTTGACTCATCCTTTAGGGGCAACTATTTTCACCTCTTTCACTTGATTTTCTTCAAATGTTTACCTCCACATCTTCCAATAACATAGTTATATTGTTTTCTTCTTGATTTTTATGTTTTAGGAGTAATCTTTTGGTAATTTAACTGTGAAGATGAGAATTCAGCTTTCTTTTCTACTTCCAGCCCATTCCCTCCATGCACACACACATTCCTCTCTCAGCTTCTTAATGTGGTTAGGTTGTATGGTAACTTTGTTAAGATTAAAATTAATTGTGCATATTATTACTTAAATGACATTCATATCTGACCAGTGGATGGTGCTAGGTTGTATTTTTCTATATAACTATTTGCTTCCTTCATGTTCATAATTGTTCTTTTACTTAAAAATATTGATGTGTAATTTACATATAATGAAATACATGGATCAGTCAGTTTTGACAAATGCATACATCCACGTAATTCACACCGCTACTAGGTGTAGAACATTTCCTTTATTCCAGGAAGTTCACTTGTAGTTTTTCCTTAATCAGTCCCTCTTAACTTCAGACATAAGGTTTCTTATTTGTTTGTAATCCATATTGCTATAACTAATTCTTCTGAAAATTTCTATAGTTGTCTAATCTCCAAGACATTCAGGCATGTCGTGTATGTGTTCATTTCTACTTCTGAAAGATGATAACATAGGAGAAAACATAAGTGACTTTGGATATGGTGATGACTTTTTAGATGCAACATCAAAGATACGATCTGTGATTTTGTAGGAGTGATAGTTTTGTATTTTACATTTAAGTCTGTGATTTGTGTTGGGTTAATTTTTATGAAGGGTATATATACAGTTTGTGTCTAGATTTTCCTTGGATTACTTCTGGCATTGGCCATTAGGTCTTTTTTCTTGGTCTGGTCTGACTCCCCAGAAAGGTCTTAATTCTCCTGCAGAGAAGGTGTAAACCTGGCTGCCAACCTCAGGAATAGTGAATAAGGGAAGAGGGACTGGATTCTCAGCATTCAGCATGTAAATATTTACATAAAACTTCTGATTTTAGTACTTTGCCCCACTGATAACAGTGCTTGGTTTCTGTAGGCTAGAAATATTTTACTCTTTCCAGAGAATAAACTTTAAGGCTTCTGCTAGCATCAGAGTGGACCACTAGCTCAGCTGAGCAGAGTAAGGGAATCCAGGGATCTAAATGCTTTTTAAACAAACTATCAGCCAATATTTTTGTGTTTAGCACTAACCACCACATTATCCCCGTATCAAGAGGTATCCAGTCAGTACCTGAGCTTTTTGATAGCATAATACCTACCTTCCTTGGTAGAAGGGTTGCTTCTAGGTTTTTCGCATAGGAGGTTTAGGGGCTGCATTTTAGCTTCCTGTATAGGTGCTTGCACCCGGGTGTGGGTGTGTTGTTTTTCTAGTTCTAATTATCTTTGTGGTTTGAGGCTTCAAGGAAAATAAAACTTTACTCTTGTTTTAGCAAAATGTTGAAAGGTAATGAACACAAGTATTCATCCAACCTTTAATTAAAACACACTTAAAAGAATATACTTTTTAAAACAAGTTTTATTGAGGTATAATTGTACTGAAAATAAATACATAAGGATATGGTCTTTAAAAAAAAAAGGATATGGTCTTTAAGTCTCACAATACTGAAAAGCTGTTCTCCTGCTTATATATTTGCTCAACTTCAGGCTCTTCTTTTTTTTTTTTTTTTAATTTTTTTTAATTTTTTATTTATTTATGATAGTCACAGAGAGAGAGAGAGGCAGAGACACAGGCAGAGGGAGAAGCAGGCTCCATGCACCGGGAGCCCGACGTGGGATTCGATCCCGGGTCTCCAGGATCGCGCCCTGGGCCAAAGGCAGGCGCCAAACCGCTGCGCCACCCAGGGATCCCAACTTCAGGCTCTTCTAATGGGATTTTTTTTTACCTTTAGCTTCTTGTTTTTCATAGCATCCTCTTGATTTTTAGATAAAAAGGATTCTTGAATATCTCTAACTGAAGTTTCTCAAAAGTTTTCTTTTTTTCTCTCATTTGTTTCTTCAGTGTCTTTTTTTTTTTCTTTTTTTGAGTTGTTTTGTGTGTGGTTTTTAAAAATTTTTGAGGTCTTCCTCAAATCTCTGATCTTTGGTTGACCATTCATATCTGAATAAGACCTTAAAAAGCTTACTGGTAGTTCTTTTTGCTTGGATAGGACTTAGTGACTGACTTTGCATTATGGTGCTTGCATGTGGTGGAGCTTTTGGGGTCTTTAAATGCTGTCATGTAGAGGTCTGTTCTTCTCCATGACTATTCAGTTGTTCAAGAGAGGAAGGCATTTTTCTGTCTATGGACTAGGAGCATGGCAGCCAACGTCCTGTCCTTGAGTTTGAGAAGAGTGCCCTAGAGTGTGGCCATTTCACATTAGACTTCTGTTTGGGGTTTTTCTTATGTTAACCCTCTGATGTACTTGCTTTTGCAGGCTTTGACTGCGTGTGAGGTTCCCAGGTTTTGTATTCCTTTTCTCTATAAAGTCAGTCTGCTTTGTCCTTTTCAGACATGTGTTTTTATTGTTTTCTAATGTTAGCTTTCCCTTTCTTACTTAAAAGCGAGTGCATGCGTGTGAGCAGTGGGGTAGAGGGGCAGAGGTAGAGGGAGAAGTAGACTGCCCACTGAACATGGAGCCCAATGCGGGGTTGTATCCCAGGACCTTGAGATCATAACCTAAGACGATGTCAGCTGCTTAACCAACTGAGCTGCCTAGGTACCCCCATCTTGTTACAGTCTTATGGATGGGAGTGAATGGGGTGGCTTTAATGAATTATACTTAGCCTTAAGTATGTCATGGGGAAATTATGCATTTACACAACATCTGAAGTGAAGAAAAGGTTGGAAATTATTACTTTAGAATGTCATAGTTAAGTATAGCTACCCTGCTAATTCATGTATGTATTCCTCATGATAATTTACTGACAATATTCAATATATTTGTTGAATTGAATTTATTTAAATAGTGGACAATATCTTTTCCAAAAGTTTTCCATTCACTTCATTGCTTTTTTCTCATTGAAATACAGACTCTGAGCTTTAATAATTCAAATAGAAGTAAATATACAAAACTAATAGAATTTACTTTTCTCCCTCAGTTCCTTTCTTTTTTTTCAGCTGTGCAGATTGGCTAAAACAGTTGTTTCATAGCTCTTTGAACAATGGAACTTTCATCTTAAAAAAAAGAAAAAATGTCTGTTTCCCTTCTCTAAATTACAGAAAAGTTTCTGGTGATCTGTATACTAGGATATACGGCACACCAACCTAAATTATTTTCTAAGAATCATACAGTGTGCTAGATTTATTTATTTTTTCAATGTGCTGGATTTAAACCTATACTGTATTGGCTTCTTGTGATTTGTGACAATCCTTCATCCTTTCTTCTCATTTAGGTAAATGGACAATGTGCTGGTCACACAGCTATGCAAGCTGCTAGTCAGAATGGACATGTTGACATTTTGAAATTACTTTTGAAGCAAAACGTGGATGTAGAAGCGGAGGTAATTAAATTAAGCTTGAGAAATACTTAAGTAAAAATCAATGTCCTAGAAATACTTCTTTATTATAAGATGAATTGGTTTCATTCCTAAAATTTAATAATCACCTAAGGCTCTTCTGACTGAAAAGAAAAATTTGACAAGAGGTAACTTGAAGTATTTCTTGTTTTTCTCTGATCTCTCAATATTGTAGACATAATCCTAAGAGAAGATAGGAGTTGAGTTTTCCTTTACTATGGTTGGACCATCCTGCTGCTAGGAGCCCAGTTGTGTTCATCCAAGAATCATTCTGAAGAAGTTGAGGGAAGGGGAATATATAGATCATATAGGTCAAGATTTTCACTGATCAGTGGCACTCAGAGGCCTTTTTTTGTTTTTTGTTTTCCCTCTAATAAGGGAATCAGTAAATTAGAATTTGTTTAGTCTTATTGTTGCTTGACCTAAATGTAGATCTTTGAAAATTTTACAGGACGTATTTATCATTATGTGTGTGTATATATGCTTAATTATTAACTAATTTTTAATTTGACAGAGAGAGGTAGTGAGCAAGAGAGAGCATGAGCAGGAGAGAGAGGGAGAAGCAGGGTCAGACATGGCGGGGCTCAATCCCAGGATTCTGGGATCATGACCTGAATCATAAGCAGACACTTAACCAACTGAGCCACCCAGGCACCCCTATATATGCTTAATTTAATTTAGAGTATATTCTTTTTTTTTTTTTTTAAGATTTTATTTATTTGACACAGAGAAAGAGCACAAGCAGGGGCAGTGATATGCAGAAGGAAAGTGAGAGGCAAGCTCCCTGCTGAGCAAGGAGCTCCAATGTGGGGCTTGACACTGGGATCATGACCTGAGCTGAAGGCAGACAGATGGTCAACCAGCTGAGCCACCCAGGTGCTCCTTAGAGTATAGTCTTTTAAAAGGGAAATGAATATTTTTTACTGTCATTGGAATTTCAGTTGAGGATCTCTATGTGTGTTGTGAAGGATGTCTTCCTTTATTATAGTAAATTATAACCTCATTATTGAAAAAATGTATTAAAATCACATTTGTTGTAGTCAAGTGGAAGATTATTTAGAAATAAGTCAAATCCTATCAAATTTAGACCAGATAGAAAGTTGTCATTTTGTCCAAATGATACTCCCATCTGAGGAAGCTTAAAGGACTTGAATTTCTGAGGGCTAAATTAGTGGACCAGCCTGTTTTTATTCATTAAAAAATTTTAAAGATACATATTTGAAAAGAGAAGCCTTCTATTATTTTTGCTTTTTTTCTCAGATTGAATGTATTTTGATTTGTTGGATAGCTACTAAATAATCTTTGGTGTTGTGGTTGTAAATAAGTAATTTTTGATGGAATTTTCTATTGTCTTAAAAATACTTGAATTTTTAAATTAGTAGGTAGATATCTATAAACTATGATAGTTTAATTACTGTAATGTCTTTATGAATGAATTTTATGATTTGATTTTGTTTTCACAGTAGTAATTTTTAAGTCACATATTTCTTGGTTATGATTTTAGAAACACCAGTGTATGTTACAAGATTTTTTTTGGTAATGAAAGAAAGACTTAATTTAAATATAGTATATTGTAAATAGAAGAAAATTACTTTATTGTGTTATTTTAGTCTGGCTTAGGGAAATGGAATGAAATTCCCTAAGTTGAATTCCACCTCGCCCTTTTTTTTTAAGTTTTTATTTATTTGAGAGACAGAGAAAGCATAAGCAGGGAGGAGGGGTAGAGGGAGAGGGAGAAGCAGACTTCCTGCTGAGCAGGTAGCCCAACCTGGGGCTCAGTCTCAGGACCCTGGGATCATGACTGGAACTGAAGGCAGATACTAAACTAACTAAGCATCCAGACACCCCAGATATCTCATTTCTTTATTTAATGCATCTGGAAACTACAATAGCAACAACTCCTAAAATACCAAAGCTCTTCTGATTGATTATAGCTAATAACACAAGAGGCCAAAAATCAAAATTTTTGGCCTGATTTTTTATAAAGTATGTTTTCTGATTCAGAATTTAATTGATAAAACTGACAACATGAGACTCTAGCCCATTTGTGTTTCTAAAGACTTTTGTTCACATGAGAGGTTGTGCACAATGGCGGTGCAGCTGTGGTGTTGGGGACAAAGTTGGCACTGTTCCTTTACTGAACTCAAATACAAAACAAATGGTTAGTGATTATTATAAATCTGTTAAGATTGGAGGTGAAGTGTGGCTCAGTAAGCTAAGTGTTTGCAAATTTCTTTTAGAAAGTTTGAAAACTAGATCTGTTACTAGATCAGCGGGATACATTTGGACTTTATCCATACCTCCTCATTCAGATTTCCATTTTGTGCATTTTCGGTTTTAAAAACCATTGTAGTCAAAGGGACTACACTCATGCAGTATATTCATGTAGGACTTGCGGAGTGCAGGCTCTGGGTCAGTTCTGTTCAGGGCCTGAGGTCGCCACCGCCCCCCCATCCCGGTGCTGCCAGAAAGGCCCTGCTCCCTTGTCTCAGCACCATGGGAGTGGCCTCACCTTGCTGCCCCAGCCAGGAAAGTGGGTAAAGGGCAGGGGCCCTGCACCTCAGAGCTTGTCCTGGTGGCCTGTGACTGTCAATAAAGCTTGGGTTTGTGAAGATTAAAAAAAAAAATAGGTTTTTTTTTTCTCATAGGTTGTGAGATAGGTTAATTGGATAATGGGCACTTGATGTAAAGTACACTGGGTGTGGGACGCCTGGATGGCTCGGGTTGTGCCTCTGCCCTTTGACTCAGGGTGTGGTCCTGAGTCTGGAGTCTTGGGATTGAGTCCCACATCAGGCTACCTCTGAGGGGCCTGCTTCTCCCTCTGTGTCTTTGCCTCTCTCTCTGTGTGTCTCTCATGACTAAATAAATAACATCTATAAAGGAAAAAACTACACTGGGTGTTATGCAGCTGTTGAATCACTGAATTCTGCCCTCGAAGTTAATAATATAGTATATGCTAACTAAATTGATTTAAATAAAAAATTTAAAAAAATAAATTAAAAACCATTGTAGATGTAATTTGTAGAAATAGTGTGAGAAAGGGATATTTATACATCAGGTTAAGTAAATAACACAGCTTCCTAATTGGCAAAGAAAAAAACTACATTTAAAAATTAGGTTAAAATATAAGTACAATTCACAGCCTAATTGCTAAAACAAAAAAATCATCTAAGTATCATTTTTCTGGATTTTAAGAATTTATTAGAAATAGCAATATAGTTTTTTTAGAATAGTAGTTCTCAACTGGGAGCATTTTTGTCCCACAGGGGGACATTAGGAAATGTCTGGAAATTTTTAATTGTCACGACTGGTGGGGAGCGTGGTGGTGGGAATACTATTGACATCTATGGTGTAGAAATGAAGGATGCTACTAAACATCTCATAGTGCACTGGAGAGCTCCCACAACAAAGAACTATCTGGCCCAAACTGTAAATAGTGCCAAAGTTGAGAAACCCTGGTTTAAAAGATAGAGGAAATATTTCCTTTTACAAAATGCACTTAAATTTGTGATTCATCATTTGCTGGCTTTTTTATAAAGTGATTTGTCATCATTAATTTATTATTGGAAGTTTTAAATATTTATAAAAGTAGAATAGTATAATGAATCCTGTATTCATCACCCCACTTCAGTTATTTTCATGGCCAATTTTGGCTTATTTGTACCTTCCTCCCTCTCTATTCCCTCTACTGAATTATACTGAAGCAGATTAGATACCTTATTTCATCTGTAAATATTTTAGTATATATCCTAAAAGATAAGTGCTATTTTTCTTAAACTTCATTATAGCTTTACCAGACATAAAAGCAATGATAATTAACAGTGATTTTAAAAAATCTAATTGTATTAAAAGTTTTGAGGTTAGCTGAAGAATAAAGAGAATAATACATTTTGTTCTCTAGTTATTTCATTCTGTAATGAGATTTCTTCATCTGCTTTAGGAGGCAAGCTTAAGATAGTATAGATTAGGGGTTGAAAACTATTTTATATTGTCAAGTATTATTGGAATAAAACACAGTCATTTATTTATTGTGTATGGCTGCTTTCATGTTACAACTGCAGAATTGAATAGCTGTGACAAGACTGTGTGATTTGTAAAACCTAAAATACTTTCTGGTCCTTCACAGAAAAGGTTACTTGCCCCTATTATAGATGACTATTGCATTTTTTTTAGTTGATTTAAGCTGTTATTAAACTAAATTATTGGTGTATATTATATCTAATATACCAGATTACATCTTTTTTTCCTACTTCTTTTTCTTAGGGAGATCTCCGCTATTTTGGAAAGTTATCTCCATGTATGACCTACTAAATAATGTAGGATTATATTACATTACATTGTTTCCTTTTTTTTTTCTTTTTAAAGATTTTATTTAGGGATCCCTGGGTGGCGCAGCGGTTTGGCGCCTGCCTTTGGCCCAGGGCGCGATCCTGGAGACCCGGGATCGAATCCCATATCGGGCTCCCGGTGCATGGAGCCTGCTTCTCCTTCTGCCTGTGTCTCTGCCTCTCTCTCTCTCTCTCTCTCTCTCTCTCTCTCTGTGTGACTATCATAAGTAATTAAAAAATTAAAAAAAAATAAAGATTTTATTTATTAATCATGAAAGACACACAGAGAGGCAGAGACACAGGCAGAGGGAGAAGCAGGCTCCATGCAGGAAGCCCGATGTGGAGGATCATGCCCCACGCCAAAGGCAGACACTCAGCTGTTGAGCCACGTAGGCGTCCCACATTCTGTTTCCTCCTTATATAGGTAAAGGCACCTGTGAGATCTTACCTATGTTTTTATAGGTGAGCTAATAGGACTGTGAGATCTTACATATGTTTTTATAGTTGAGCTAATTTTGGATCCTGCAAGGACTCAGTATTCACCCTCACCCCCACTGATGAAGTATAATTAAAAAAAGTGTGGAAGATTGAATAGAAGATCAGTTTAAAAAAGTATGTCCTTTAACAATAAGTTTTCAAATGCAGTACAAATATATA